GTTCTACGCCCTCAGGGATCTCGACGGGCTCTCTCCTCGGCACGCCACAAGACTTCAACTCACGCCCATCCTCTTTCCCCTCGTTCACAACCCAACAGCCTGCCGCCACTCCTCCTCGAGGGGGACTCATCGCGCGGTTCTACGCCCTCAGGGATCTCGACGGTTCTCTCCTCGGCACGCCGGGCGCCTTCGCAGTCGCTCCCTTCTCCCCCATCCTGCCGCCTGCCACTGTGCGCCCCAGCCTGTGCCAGTACCGGGCTGAGAGCGCCGTGTGGCAGTGCCAATCGGTGTGCTACAGGGCAGTGGGCGTGTTCTACTATGAGCCGGGGGTGCGACCCAATGGATGGATGGTCTACCTGCTAAAGTGCTCCGGCCTTACAGGTGAGCACTCAGAGCAATGTATCTTGTGGCTGAGAGTGCAGTGTGGCAGTGCCAGTCAGTGTGCTACAGGGCAGTGGGCGTGTTTTACTATGAGCCGGGTGTGCGGCCTAACGGGATGACCGGGCTTCCTTCGAAGGTGCTCCTGGGCCCTTATAGTGTGAGCATTGGTAGCGTTTTTCTTCTGTGTGGAGAGGGTCATGTGTGTGGCAGTGCCAGCCGGTCTGCTACAGGGCAGTGGGCATGTTTTTAATACGAGCCAGGCGTGCGACCCAATGGGATGGCCGGTGTCGCGCTATTAACACATAGCCTGCGGCTAAGTGTGAATTGCACAGCAGCTTAAGGTGAGGTTGTACTATATTGCTGTTTGGTTCTTGTACTCATACTTTCGTTTGTGTGCTTGGAATGTACTGTACATATATGGAGCCGAGCAGGGTGGAGAAGCTCGAGGAATTTGGTGGGGACAGGGTGGAATTCGATTCCAGGCTGGGAATTCGATTCCAGGCTGGGAATTCGGTTCCAGGCTGGGAATTCGATTCAGAGAATGCAATTCCAGCTGGAAGTCGGTGCATGCCTAGTGGGCCACTAGGACCCAGCTAGCACCTAGAAGCTATCGCGAGCAGCACTGCTGCTATGCGACTTGGCAACTAGAGTTAGCTTGTGGGACAAGCAACCTAGGCAGAAGGATGGCTGGGACTTAGACAGGGGAGGATACCTGCTCCGTGCTTTTTGCTTGTTTGTTTCTCGTAATACTGCAATTCGTTTCCCAACCAAGGAGGCAAGCAGCTAGGAGAAGCTAACAGCAAACTGACGGAGCCCTTGCGAGGGAGGATTTAGACTTGTTGCAAACAAGCAAAAAGGTAGCGGTAGAGAAGCGTACGGGCGCAGAGGCCCGGTGTTAGCCACGGCGTCAGGGCCGTGAGGCATGAGCGATACGGATCCAGATCTACACATCCATCAGTTGCGGTCGGGACAGAGGTATCCCGCTAGGACTATGGAAGGTCGGGAAGAGCCGCCTGTGAAGCCTGGATTCCGTGCAGATGGAGGAGTTAATGAAACGCAGGGAGGAAAGGGCCCTGATCTGCCGAAGGAGGGTGGGAATCGTCAGGAGAAATTGCCCAGCTCGGTGCACAACTCGCCAGGACGACAGAGCGAGGCGAGATCTGGGCAGCAAGGATCGCAGCAAGGAACGCCTGAGCGTGGTGAGGCGCACAGACGGGAAGCAGAGCAGAACTTCAGAGAGGAGAATTTCCGTGGTCTATCCGGAGGGCGCAGTACCACCAGGGGGCCCGAGCAAGGGGGTTGGCCTGCAGGATGCAGAGAGAGGGAAGCCGCAAGCTGGGGGACAGGGAGGTCTTTGAACACGGCGCCCCCGAAGATCGAGATACTAGACCGCTTCTCAGGGGCACCAGGTGAAGAGCCAACACTGAAGAACTACCTTATGATGATTGATGATATACGGTACACCTGGGAGAGAGAGGGGTTAGATCCGATAGAATTTTTCAGAGGATTGGGAAGGACACTGAAAGGGGAGGCACTGACACACTATAGAGTGGAGCGTCAGGGGCTGCTGATGCAGTGCAAGAATGGGGATTTTGCGCAGGGAGAGATCACTGACCGATTTTTGGACACGCTGCGTGAGCAGTTCCCCGGGCACTCAGCTGAGCGTATGATAGAGTTCCAAGACTTTAAAAGAGGACGGGCAGAGTCGCTGCTGGCATACTACAACCGGCTGCTGGAGCTGGCTGAGGATATGGGCTGCGTTGAGGAGCGTACCTTGGTGACGAAATTCCTGGGGGGGTTGGAGGAGGAGCTGATGAATGAAATGAAAACACGTCTGTACGCTTTGGGGATGAAGGCGAGACTCAGGCAGGTGTATCAAGTGGCGAAAGAAGTGGAGGAAGGGCAGAGGTTCTTTGAAGGCTTGAGAGGAGCAAGCTCCAGCCGATCAAACGAGCGAAGGAGACCAGCCTGGGCAGCAGCTGAAGGAAGGAGGGGGGAGGAAGAACGAAGAGAGAAGCCCTGGGAAGACCCAAGGCGGTGCCATAAGTGTGGGGAAAAGGGGCATATATGGAAGGACTGCACAGTGGGCATTTTATGCGACACCTGTGGCGTGTAGGGGCACTTCAGGCGAGACTGCCCCAAGGCTCCCACCTGCACCAACTGCGGCAAGAAGGGACACACGAAAGAAAGGTGTTACAGCCGAGGAGAGAAGGAGAAAGGGAAGTCCGCGAGAGAGCTGCAGCTGGAAAGGGAGCTGGCGAAATTAAAGGCACAGAAGGAGAAGACTCAAGTCAGTGAGGATCCTGAGAAAGCGCTGCTAGCCTGGGAGGAAGACGAAGAAGAATCAGATGAGGAGGAACCGGAGTATGGTACGATGGCATTACAACCTAGACCGCGGGAAGAGTTGGGGCTGAGGAGCAAAGGGGTAGACGGCAGAGCCAATGAAAAGGCCTACGAGAGGAGAGGCCCCAAGATACAACCGAGTGGAGATGAGAAGCGGACAGCACGGCGACGGCCTGACGAGAGAATGGTGTGTCAGCCTACGGCGTTGGTAGCTGAACCCGGAGCGGTGGCTGTAAGAGGCATACAGGTGGATAACGCGGTGGTGGACACTGGGGCGCAGAGTGTGCTGATTGGGAGGAAGCTGGGGGAGCAACTGAAGGCTCAAGGGGACTTAGAGCTAGTGGAACGGGGATTACTCATCATGACGGCGGAAGGGGGAGCACCCAAATGGATGCCGTGCACAAAGGAGCCAATAGAGATTACGCTGCAGCCTGGGGAAAGGGGTGAGACCAAGATACGAATGCAGTGCGGGATGACAGAATCAGATGACTACGACATCCTGCTAGGCATGGAGCTGCTGTTTAGGGTGGGGGCGACAATATGTACTTGGGAGGAGCGGGTGCAGTACCGTACTGAACGTTGGAGGGAAGGAGGTGAGCTGGGCGAACTGCCGGTCAGGTTTGTTAAGACAGAACCCAAGAGGGCCTGGAGAGCAGGGGCGGTCAAGGGAGAGAGGAAGAATTGGGATGGAGAAAGCGCACTGGCAGGAATGGGGGCAAAGCTGAGTGAATACAGTGTGATGCTAGTGGAGCTATTCGGAGGCATAGGGGCGGGGCTTGCAGCAGCCTTAGAGGCCGGCCTGGAGATTAAGAAGTGGCATTACATAGAGTTAGACCCGGAGGTGCGTAAGATGGCGTGGAGTCATGCCAGGGCCCTGCAGGAGCGATATCCAGCGCAGCTGCGAAAGCAAGTCATAGTAGAGGCAATGAAGAGAGAGCATTGGGATGTAAGGGAGATCAGCAGGCAGGAAGTGAGGAGCTGGGGAAAGGTGGACTTACTGGTGGCCGGATGGGAGTGCCAGGGCACTTCTCGGGCAGGCAAGGGAAGAGGGCTGCAGGATGAGCGCACGGGGTTAATCAAGAAGCTCCTGGAGGTCATGGCCTGGATGAGGGAAGAAGGAGAAGAATACGCGTACATCTTGGAGCACGTGGATATGAAGGGCGATCCACGAGAACCGGTGCGAGCTGTGAGGGAGATGGTAGAGGCACAGCTAGGGAAGGGAGTGAGTTGGGATGCGGCCCTGCACGGAGCACGATGTCACCGGACACGGTGCTACTGGCAGAACGTGCTACCAGAGGAAGATCTGCGCGCAAAGACTGTCCAGGGTGGAGAGGGATGATCGGAGGATAGTGGAGGACATCCTGGAACCCGGGCGAGTGGCAGCTCCAGTGTGGAAGCCAGATCATCCCCTGCAGCACCAGTGCAACAGGAGAGGAGAGGCACGACGAGCCTTGCCGACGCTGGTCGCCTACCCAGGAGCAAGGGGGTTCGTTGAGGCAGATGGCCAGCCTGGCCCAGGGATGATATATGACCACAAAAGGAAGAGGTGGGAGGAGCCGACAGCTTTGGAGAGAGAATTGGCTATGGGTTATCTAGCGGGAGCGACCGCAGCACCGGGTGTAAGTGAGGAGGCAAAGAGGGCAGCGGTGGGGAGAGCTATTGATCAGCACTCACTGAGATGGCTGATTTGCGAAATGAGGAAGGGGGCAAAGGGGCCTGGAGGTAAGAAGGCAGGGGGGGAAAGGGGGCTGCGGAAGCAGCCAGCGTACTCAGCGGTGGAGCTGAAAAAGGAAGTAAGGGCGGAGCCGAGGCAAGAGAAGCTGAATGTCAGCAAGGGGCCAGAGAAGGAATGGGAGATAGGGGCAGATGTGGAGGCAGGGGCTGCAGAGGCGATCAGGCAGCTGCTGAAAGCGCATAGGGGCACATTTGCATACAACTTGCAGGAGCTGGGGCAGTACAAGGGCGGGGAATTAGAAATAAAGCTCACGACGGAGATACCGACTTACCAGCGCAGGAGGCGCATGAATGCTGAAGATGCGGCCATCTGCAAAGAGAAGTGTGAGGAGCTGCTGGCAGCAGGAATCATCCGCCCATCCGAGTCTAGTTATGCAGCTGCCACGGTGGTCGCAGCCAGGAAAGATTTGACCGGCGCGGTTCTGTCACGACGGATGTGCGGGGACTACCGTGATTTGAATAAGATCACGGAGCCTGACCGCTATCCCATGCCGACAGCAGAGGATATATTTGACCTGCTGGAAGGGGCAGTCATTTTCACCACGCTAGACCTTAGGCAGGGGTTTAACCAAATTGCCATAAGGGAGGAGGACAAGCGCAAAACCGCTTTTCACGGGGTGGACGGATTGTATGAGTACAACAAGATGCCATTCGGCATGCGGAACGCATCTGCCGTGTTCCAGCGAGCAATGGATCAGGTACTGCGAGGCATACCAGCAGCAGCGTGTTACATTGATGATGTGCTGGTCTTGAGCAAAACGGACACTAGAAGCAATAGCAGCAGCAGGACTCACCTGCCACCCAGAGAAGTGTAAGATAGCAAGGCGGACGGTGGCGTCTCTGGGATTTGAGGTGAAAGGGGGCAGGCTGGGTATTCAGGAGGCGAAGGTTAAGGTGCTGGACAAGCTGGCGCCGCCGAAGGACAAGTCAGGGCTGAGAGCGTTGCTCGGCTTCCTGAACTACTACAGGAAGTTCGTGCCGAACTTCAGCCGGCGAGCGAATCTCCTGAATCAACTGCTCAGGGAAGGAAAGCGATGGGAGTGGGGACAGGAGGAAGAGGCGGCTAGACAGGATCTATTAGAGGCAGTACGGACAGGCACACTGCTACAGATACCCAGGGCAGATGCTCCCTTTACGCTTTACACTGACTGGAGCTGCATGGGGATGGGGGCAGTCCTGTGCCAGCAGATTGAGCGAGAGGAGCGAGTGGTAGCATTTGCCAGCCGCAGCTGCAGCCCCACCGAGGCAAATTATTGCTCGTATGAAGGCGAGGGGTTGGCAGCTGTATGGGGCATCAACCATTTCAGGGTCTACCTGCAGGGGCGTAGGTTCGTGCTGGTAACCGACCATCAGCCCTTGATGTGGCTGATGACAAACCAGGAACTGACGGGACGGAATGCCCGCTGGGCGATCAAGCTGCTAGGATACGACTTTGAAATTCGCCACCCGCCCGGGCAAGACCCTCCAGCATGCTGACGGTCTGCCTAGGAACCCTCCACCTGTGCAGCCCGTGGCGCAGCTGGCAGCCGTAGCACAGGTGCCGGCAGCTGGCTGGGGGCAAGAGAAAGTTGAGAAGAGGCAGCTAGATGTCTGGGAGGATACCGAGACTCTGGAGTGGATTAAGAGAGGGAGCACGGAGGGCGAGGAGGCCAGTGAAAGGGCAAGGGCCAGGGGGCAGCACTACCATTGGTACCAAGAGCAGCTGCAGCTTCGCACCAGTGAGGGATGGAAGATAGTGCCACAAAAGAAGGACAGGGAAAGGATCATGCGACGGGTGCATGGGAAGCTGGGGCATTACGGAACGGCACGCACCAATCAACTGCTGAGCACGATGTACTGGTGGGCAGGGATAAGGAGGGACGTCAAGGAGCTGGTAGATGAGTGTGCAGCCTGCAGTCGTAACAAAGCAGCACTGGAGAAGGCAAGGGAGGAGCTGCAGTCACTGCCGATTCGGGGACTGGGCTGCCGCTGGTCGCTAGATTTGGCTGGGGAATTACCTCTGTCCAAGAAAGGCAAGCAATACATACTCGTGATGGTAGAGCACACTAGTAAGTGGGTAGAGGCCAGGGCACTGCCAAGCAAGAACAGTGGGCTGATTGCCGAGGCGTTCGTGGAGCAAGTGATCACCAGGTTTGGGGCGTGCGGGGAGGTGTTAACTGACCAGGGTACCGAGTTCAAGGGCTGCTTTGAAGAGACTTTGCAGGAGCTGCAGATCACTCACCGTGTGACATCAAGGTATCACCCGTTGTCGGATGGGTTAACGGAGCGGCTGATTCAGACGCTGAAGAGAGGGTTGCGGGCCTACGGGGAGACGAACAAGAGAGGATGGGACCAGGAGCTACACTGGATCCTTGCAGGTTATCGCTTTGCCAAGCAAGCGGCATTGAAGGACATGTCGCCCTACCATCTGCTGTACGGGAGGCACCCCATCCTACCCGTGGATGCACCGAAGTTGCTAAGTCCGACGGTAGATGCAGACGAGCCACACCTGTGGGCTGAGCTGGCTAGGAAGAGGGCGGCCTACCTGAAGGAACTGACGCCGGCAGCGCTGGACAACCTCCACGTGGCGCAGCTGAGGGACGCTAGACGTTACCAACAGAGGAAGGCAGGCGAGGAGGGATGCAGACGTAAGGGAGTAGAGACTGGGGAGGAAGTGTACCTGAGGCAGCCCAAGCGAGATACGCTAGACCTGCCAGTCGGACCAGAACGCTGGAAGGTGAAGGAGATGAGGCAGTCCGGGGTGCTGGTGCTAGAGGACGAGCGAGGAAGGCGCATCAAGGAGCACGTTACCAATGTGGCCGCGGCTGGAAAAGGGAAGGGTCAGGCTGAGGGTCCCGAAGCCAGAGTTGCCTGTGCTGGAACTCAGGCTCGGGAGGGGGCAGTGCAGCCTGAGAAACAAGGAGAAGGCAGGAGCAGCATCATCACATACACCAGGAGGAAGAAGAGGCAGAGAGGCGGCACTGGGACAGGCAAGCAGGCATGAGAGGATGAGGGTGAGAGAGGAGGTGGAAGTACCTGTTAGGAAGAAACAGGGAATTTGAGAAAGAGGAAGAGAAGAACAGTCGGAAGAGCAGAAGGAGGGGAGCTACTTCACGACAGCTGTCGCGCTATTAACACATAGCCTGCGGCTAAGTGTGAATTGCACAGCAGCTTAAGGTGAGGTTGTACTATATTGCTGTTTGGTTCTTGTACTCATACTTTCGTTTGTGTGCTTGGAATGTACTGTACATATATGGAGCCGAGCAGGGTGGAGAAGCTCGAGGAATTTGGTGGGGACAGGGTGGAATTCGATTCCAGGCTGGGAATTCGATTCCAGGCTGGGAATTCGATTCCAGGCTGGGAATTCGGTTCCAGGCTGGGAATTCGATTCAGAGAATGCAATTCCAGCTGGAAGTCGGTGCATGCCTAGTGGGCCACTAGGACCCAGCTAGCACCTAGAAGCTATCGCGAGCAGCACTGCTGCTATGCGACTTGGCAACTAGAGTTAGCTTGTGGGACAAGCAACCTAGGCAGAAGGATGGCTGGGACTTAGACAGGGGAGGATACCTGCTCCGTGCTTTTTGCTTGTTTGTTTCTCGTAATACTGCAATTCGTTTCCCAACCAAGGAGGCAAGCAGCTAGGAGAAGCTAACAGCAAACTGACGGAGCCCTTGCGAGGGAGGATTTAGACTTGTTGCAGCCTGAGAAACAAGGAGAAGGCAGGAGCAGCATCATCACATACACCAGGAGGAAGAAGAGGCAGACAGGCGGCACCGGGACAGGCAAGCAGGCATGAGAGGATGAGGGTGAGAGAGGAGGTGGAAGTACCTGTCAGGAAGAAACAGGGAATTTGAGAAAGAGGAAGAGAAGAACAGTCGGAAGAGCAGAAGGAGGGGAGCTACTTCACGACACCGGGCTTCCTTCGAAGGCGCTGCGGCCTTACAGGTGAACGGAAGTGGGGGTGTGCGAACTGGTGTGCTACAGCGCAGTACAGTGGCCGTGTTTTACTATGTGCCAGGCGTGTTTGATGGGGAACCGACGCTCACCTGTACGGCCAGAAAACTGGTGTGTTTTACTATGTGCCAGGCGTGTGGCATAACGGGATGGGAGGCCTACCAGTTTTCCGGCCGTACAGGTGAGCGTCGGTTCCCCATCTCTCCATCACACCCCTTCTCCCCCATCCTGCGGCCTGCCTCTGTGCGCCCCTGCCTCTGTGCGCCCCTGCCTCTGTGCGCCCCTGCCTGTGCCAGTATCGGGCAATGGTGTGTGTGTAATGGTGTGTGTGTAATGGTGTGTGATGCGTTCTCCATCCATCCCATTTTCACCCTCCCCCTTCCACTTACTCCTCCCCACCACCAGCTACATCAACATCACAAGAGAAGAAGACGGGGAGACCTTCACAGCGTACGGCACGGACAACGACAACCCTGACAGCCCCCCTGCTGACCCCAAGCGCACCGCCTACCGTTACGTTACCGCGTCGCTGCTCGCTGGTTACACCTACCGGTTCACGATCATCCCTGCCCCCACCAACAGCCTCTTCTACCCCACATGGGCTCAGGTGATTGACTGTGACTGTGACTGACTGAGTGTGAGAGTGGGAGTTTGAGTACACGTAAGGCCAACCTGTCTCGCTTCTCCATGTTACCGCGTCGCTGCTGGCTGGATACACTCACCAGTTCACCATTGGGCCTGCCCCTACCAACAGCCTCTTTTACCCCACCTGGGCTCAGGTGATTGACTGTGACCGAGTGTGAGTGTGAGTGTGAGTGTGAGGGTGAGGGTGAGAGTTTGAGTACACGGGCGTAAGGCCAAGCTGTTTTTTTAGAATTCTCAAAACACAGATTCTTTCTTAGCTTAGGTTACCGCGTCGCTGCTGGCTGGGTACACTCACTGGTTCACCATTGTTTCCAACCAGCAGCGCGCCCCCACCAGCATTCTCGTCCACCCCACCTAAACTCATGTGTGTAGGGTGTAGTTGAGGGAGTGAGAGTGAGTGAGAGGGATTGTGGTTGAGTGTGAGTGCACATGGCTGGATAAACTTACCGGTTCTCCATTGTGCCTGCCCCCAACAACAGCCTCTTCCACCCCACCTAAACTCACGTGTGAGAGTGAGACAGTGAGTGTGAATGAATGAGTATGAGTGAGTGATAGTGAGTGAGTGTGAGTGGGTATAAGTGAGCGTGACTGCGTGTCCATGTCTGAGTAAGTGTGAGTCGCTCAGTGTTATTGAGCGTGATTGACTAGTGTGAATGAATGCATTTCCCTTCCTCTCCTCTCCTCTCCTCTCCTCTCCTCTCCTCTCCTCTCCTCTCCTCTCCTCTCCTCTCCTCTCCTCTCCTCTCCTCTCCTCTCCTCTCCTCTCCTCTCTTCTCCTCTCCTCTCCTCTCCTCTCCTCTCCTCTCCTCTCCTCTCCTCTCCTCTCCTCTCCTCTCCTCTCCTCTCCTCTCCTCTCTTCTCCTCTCCTCTCCTCTCCTCTCCTCTCCTCTCCTCTCCTCTCCTCTCCTCTCCTCTCCTTTCTTCTCGTCTGCTTTCATGTTTGACCACGGTAATGTGCATACAACAAGAATGTTTGTACGTGAGAGTTGAAGGGACAAGATGAAATCATTTCTTGAGGCCTCAAAAACAATCCTCCCCTCGCATATCATCTTCTCTCCTCTTTCTCTCTCGCTTCATTGCTGACTGCAGCTGTGGCCTTACGACAAGGGTATGTTTTTTGAGAATTCTCAAAAAACATATGCAGCTGTGGCCTTACGACAAGGGTGGCTGTGAGGAAGGGCTGAAATTCAGGATGAAGTCAAATTTTTAGGCACCTCAACAACAATGCTCTCCTCGCCTCTCCTCACGATCAAGGCACCCAAACAGCAGTACTCTCCCCCCCTGTCCTCTCCTCTCCTGCTGCTGACTGCAGCTGTGGTCGTACGACAAGGGCGGCTGTGAGGGGGGCCTGAAGATCAAGATGGTTGCTAGAGACCAAACCACTCAATGGTTCGCCACCGATGCTCCCAACCTGTGAGTCTCCCCTTCTCTTCCTCTCTGCTCTCGATGCTTTGCACTCTCTTCCCCACTTTTGAGGCGCCTCAAAAGCAACCGGGGGGGTGTTGAAGGTCAAGATGGTTGCCATAGACCAAACCACTCAATGGTCTCAATGGTTCGCCACCGATGCTCCCAACCTGTGAGTCTCCCCTTCTCTTCCTCTCTGCTTTCACCCTGTCATTCACCTCCCTCTGCCCATCCTGACTTATGCTCCCAGCATGCAAATCTCTTTGCCTTATTCCACCCCCAGCCCCTGCCGGTGAGTCTTCTTTGCTCTCTCTTCCCCAATTGTGCACACCGGGGGGGGGCCTGAAGATCAAGATGGTTGCCAAAGATCAAATCAAACCACTCAGTGGTTCGCCACCGATGCGGAGTCTCGTTCGGCTATCCCGAACCTCCCCCAGTCTTTGCGTATTGTTGGCATATACTGAACCTCTTTACGACCTGTGCTCCTTTTTTCATATCCCGGCCCTCTTCCCAACCTTTTCTCAAGCTGTGTGTTTCATTGCCCCTCTCATTGCCCCTCTCATTGCCCCTCTCTCCTCATCTGCTTTCCTTCATCCTTCCCCCGCCTGCCCTTTCACTTTTGTCCCCTCTTCCTACCAGCCCGGCACAGGAGCCCTCAAATACAAGACCTACAGGGAGTATCTCTGCCACTCCTCTTCCTCCTCATCCTCCCCACCCCTCGTCCTCTGTTTCCTGTTCTCTCCCATTTCCCCCAGCCCGTGCACAGGAGCCCTCAAGTACAAGACCTACAAGGAGTATCTCTGCTCTTCCTCCTCCTCCTCCCCGCCTCTCCTGCAACTCACGGTCGGCGCCACCAGCTACGGCGCGCTCGCCACCATGACGCTCAACACCTCCTCGCCCGCCTCTTGCTCTGCGTGAGTCCCGCCCTCCCTCCCTTTGTTCGAGCTCCTTTCTGGTAATTAGTGTTGCTCTCCTGCAACTCACGGTCAGCCCCACCAGCTACGGCGCTGATGAACGCTCCGGCCGAAATGCGCGTACGCCTCAGAATGACTAGTTGACTACTTGTCTTCTACTCTGCCTGTTTTTTCAAGCTCTACCTAGACTACCCCTAGTACGCGGAGAATAGTCTTAGTGTTTTCTCACTGAACGCGCGAGATCTGTAGGCTTGCTCCGGTCGAACCTCTTCCTACTCTTGCACGAGCTCCTTTCTGGTAGTCACTGTTTCTCTCCTGCAACTCACGGTCAGCCCCACCAGCTACGGCGCACTCACCACAATGAAGCTCAACGCAATGGCCCCGTCCTCTTGCTCTGTGTCTATCCCACCGGGTCCACCCGGGCCCACCCGCACCTCTTGCATTGCATTCGCTTCTGACAATTCTCATGTTCCTGGCCCATGCCCCTCTTGTAATGAGTCGTGTTTTGAGTCGACTCCAAACACGACTCATTGCATTGGCCGCTGACAGTTCTCGTGTTCCTGGCCCATGCACCTCTTTTCATATATTCACTATTGTAACAAGCCAACTTTCGTTGTTGCAGCCCGACCCGTTGTCGTTGTTGTAACGAGCCCTTAGTCGTTGTTGTAACGAGCCCTTAGTCGTTGTTGTAACGAGCCCTTAGTCGTTGTTGTAACGAGGCCTTGGTCGTTGTTGTAACGAGGCCTTAGTCGTTGTCATAACCAGCCCATTGTTGTCACAACCTTGGGTCACCTGATTTTGCTCCTATGATTGTGTGCTGCGTGCATTTTCGTACCCAATGGCAGCGCATGTTCATAATGTGGGCTGGACATTCTTCAACCCAGGCAGTTTCCACGGTACCGTATATGTTTAGGATGTGACTGCATAGTTCGTTCCAGAACTGTGTGTATAGTGTTGACACTTTCTTGTGTTGAATGTTACCTGTTTTAAATTGTTTTTATGAGGTTTGGGGGTAACATTTCAATATGTTTTTGTACTTCACACTCTACTCAAAATCATGCATCTGCATCCTTTACGCTAGAAAAAGGCTTACTAGTGCTGTCTGTAACCCACCCTCCCTGTCCTGTATCCATGCTCTTTTCTCGGGTCGCTTTCTCTAGCATGGTCCTCGTTTTCTTGATCTTCATTTGCCAACTCCAATATAGCCCAATTACCTTTCAAACTTCTCCATAATGCTAGACCTACAATTAGGCCATCTGCTGTTGTAGTGATATTACATGGTACACTGCAGTATAAGCTGGTTCTTGAAACAAGTTCAGTTTTGGGTTGAGGTTCTTCCCTCCCCAATTCCATACACCTGTCCCGCGCTAATTTCAATTCCCGGCAATTTCAACACCCTTGTCTCGACCTGTGGTCCTGGGCCGAGCACGGTTAGACCCAGGACCTCTCGATAAAGCTCGGAACCGATTACAACGCTTGTATCACGGTTTTGGGCATTACGGAACCGATTGAAACCGCGCTGAGTATCGGAACTTCTCTGTTCCGGGCAATTTCAACATGAGGGCTAAACGACAAAGACGCGATTCGGCTCTCAGGTGTTGAAATTGGCAAGGGAGAGGTGTATCTAGCTGACTTTCCCTCACCAGTTCGTTTGCTTGTCCTTCCGCTTCATTCCCCTCTCCCCCCATTCGTCCCCCTCATGCACCCATCACTAATTCCGGACCGGAACCAATCTGAATCTTGAGCCGGGAATTGCGAACTCCCATCTGAAACTTAGTGCAAATGCAGCTTTGTCTGTACAGCACACTGTGCGCACTGTACAGTTCACATGCAATTGAATCGTTGACTTTAGTCTGGATACGATTCCTCGTCAGTGTCTTCAAGCACACACTGTTGCGTGTCGACAGCATCGGATGAACGACGACGAGACCCCTCCCTAACTTTGTTGACGGTCACTTCGGTTCGGTTTACCCTACAGCTCGTCCTTTGTGTGTGTGTGTGTGTGTGTGTGTGTGTGTGTGTGTGTGTGTGTGTGTGTGTTGTGTGTGTGTGTGTGTGTGTGTGTGTGTGTTGTGTGTGTGTGTGTGTGTGTGTGTGTGTGTGTGTGTGTGTGTGTGTGTGTGTGTGTGTGTGTGTGTGTGTGTGTGTGTGTGTGTGTGTGTGTGTGTGTGTGTGTGTGTGTGTGTGTGTGTGTCAGATAAAGCATGGGTGACAATGGAAGCGAAGCGTTTACGAAGAGGGCCCATTGAACTGGTCGCCCGCAAATACTGTATCTCGAAGCACGTGCAGTGGCAGTCCGGTGCTGCCAACAACACATGCAGAGCAGCACCGCAACGAACCCATCCGTCCATTAAAGCTTTCGTATACATTTGCAAGTACTGTTCACGGTTGCACAGTATCCCAAAAAAATTCGCTCAAACGAAACCAAATGAGGGTGGCGAGAGGTTTTGCGAAAACTTGCACCTTTGAGGGTTCCAAACACGGGAAACTCCCCCGTCACCCAACCTTGCAGTGACTCACCAGCCGAAGCATAGATAGAGGAACCGAGGCTAGCGGTTTGCATCACGACGCTGGGTCGCCGCACTCGAGTAAGCCGTCACGCGATTGATAATTTAGGGGCCGTGTTCACTGAGCGGATGCGCGTTTCATGCGTTGGCCACGCCGCCACTCTCAACACTCGCTAGGTGGCCTCTCCCGCTTGGCTCCTCACCCGCTGCGCGCCTTTCCCACTTAGCGCCTCACCCGATGCGCACCATGGCCCTTTATCGCCGAACCCGCTGCGGCGCCTCAGCCCTTAGGGCGTGTGACATTTTTCCTTTGTTTTGTCCGGACGTCCAGCCGTTCGGACGGTTGTGTGGTTACCAGAATCCTTCCAGCTCGCCAGCTAGCTCGTCCAGAATCGAAACGACGTCGTATGTGTCGCCTCGCGTCCTTACCACGTCGCAGGGTACGGGAGAAGCAGGGTGAAAGAGGGAAAGGGAGATAGGGAAAAAGGGAAGCAGCGCGGGTAGAAAGAGGGAAGAAGGGTGTAGGGAAGATAGGGGAAAGGGGAAAGCAGGGCGTAAGGCAGAGAAGAGAGAGGGGGAAGCAGGGTGTAGGGAAGAGAGGGAAATGGGGTTTAGCAGGATATAAGGGGGAGAACTCATGGTGGGAGAAGAAGGGTGTGGAGTAGAGAGGGGAAAGGTGGAAGAAGGGAGTCAGGCAGAGTGGAGAATAAATCAAGAGGGGTGTAAGACAGAGAGGGGAAAGGAGGTAGAAGGGTATAAGGCAGAGAGCGGAGAGGGGAATGAAGGGTGTAGGGACGAGAGAGTAAAGGGGGAAGCAGGGCGTAGGAAGAGAGGAGCTAAGAGGGAGAAAGGGGGTAGGTGAGCTTGAGAAGGGGGGGGGGGGGGGGGGGGGATGAGACGGAGAATGGGGAAAAATGAGAAGGAGAAAGGTGGGACATGAGAGGGGGGAGGGGGGTAGACGAGAGGGGGAAGGGGGGAATCGAGAGGGAGAAGGTGGAGAAACGAGAGGGAGACGGGGAGGCGGGTAGGGAAAACGAGGGGGCGAGAAGGGGAAACGGGGAGGCGGGGAGGGATAATGGGGAGCGGGAAGGGGAAACGGGAAGGTGGGATGGGGAAACGGGGAGCGAGAAGGGGAAACGGGGAGCGGGAAGGGGAAACGGGGAGCGGGAAGGGGAAACGGGGAGGTGGGAAGGGGTAATGGGGACCGTGAAGGGGAAACGCGAATGTGGGAGAGCGGGAATGCGAAACGGGGAGGCGGGAAGGGGAAATGGGGTGCGGGAAGGGGAAACGCAAATGTGTGAATGGGATACCGGGAGCGGGAATGGGAATCGGGGAGGCGGAAAGGGGAAATGCGCGGCGGGAAGGAAAACCGGGGAGGCGGGAAGGGGTAATCATGACACGGGAAGGGGAATTGCGGTGGAGGAAAGGGGAATTGGGGATGCGGGAAGGCAAGGGGAAATGGGGAAAGAGGGAAGGGAAGATCGGAACAGGGAGGCAAGAAAAGGAGATCGGAAGGCAGAAAGTGAGAATTCGGAGGCACTAACGCGAGATACGGAGCCACGCAGGCGAAATAGGGAGGCGAAAAGGGGAGATGGGAAGGCGCTGGGAAGGGGAGAAGAATTGGCTGGTCAAGGAGACCGTTTCGGCAGTCCGTCGCGACCTCAAGTGCGGCTGCCGTGGCTAGTGCGGAAACGGGGTAACAAAGCTGCGCGAGCGGGAGGCGACTGTGATCGTGCGAGATCCCGCTGTTCGGCAGTTTCAGATGCAGCGTGCGTGTTCAAGGAGGTGTGAGGAGGCAGCGAGGTGAGGCGATGCGACGCCGCGACGGACAACGAGGCGAGGCTAATGAAAGGAGGTCCGTTGTGATCGGCTCGGCGAGGTGACTAGAACCGGCGCCGGCTAGGCCACAAGCAGCGGTTTGATGCGGCGCGACGAGAGTGGTAGGTGGAGGGATGCCGCGTTTGAAAGCTAGCGGGCGCGGCTAGTGCTATTTCAATGTCGAACGCGTGTGATGCGGGAGAGGCGAGTGTGAGAGGGCGGAACTGGCGTTGGTGCGGACGCGTAATGACTCTATACGTCTAGTTACGTCGCTGTTTGTGTCGGAAACGGGGTTCTTTGCGCTGGTTGTTGAATCGCGATCTGCTTATCTACGTAGTTTTCGGCCTATCGTGCGTAGTGGCCTAGTTCTGAGAAACATGGTAATTTGTATCCTTTTGTTGTTTCAAAAGTTTTGAACCAGCAGTCACTGTGGTCTGTCTTCCTGGCCTAGATCAACGACTCAAACATGTGCCTTTCATTCCCACACACAACACGAATCACATTTTACAGCGCCACTGCGTTGTCTTGTCCTCACTTTGGGCGGCTCGGAAGCTTCCGATTTCCCCGGGATTTGCACCCTTGCTGAAGCACGCTCTAAAATACCTCAGGCTTACCGCATTAAAAGACCACCCAATCCGAGCTCGAGGTTCAGTCCTCCTGTCCTTCCCTTGTCCGCTTCTGTACAGCTAGACGCCACGACAGAGATGCCGCCTCATGGAGTTCTTTCCGTGCGAGAGGCTCGCTGTAAAATCCCGATGACAGATGTAGGAATCCGTGAAAGACTTTCTGCATTCCCATGTCAGATTTTGGCCGGTTATCTGGCAAAACTCGGGCGGTTGCTGCAGCGTGAAGCTCTTCTAGTTAGTCGACAAGACAAAGCGCGATTGAAAAAGCTGCACGTGAGGCATTGTCGCGTACGCATTGTAGCGCGTTGGTGCACATAATACAGCTAATTACAAGCGCGTTTGTCGCTTGCGCCGCCGCACACTGCCAGCGTGACATTTCCGAAATGATTCTGATGGTGCAGCAAGTCCGGATCTGAAGGCCGGTTCTCCCCCCAGCCAGACTCGCCGCCGCATCTGCCACCGTACGATCGTTGTGTTGACGCTTGCCGCGACGCGACGGAACAAAACAACCTGCTGCAGGAGCATCGGCATTGGCCGCGCTATTATCCGAAAGGCCAGCTGTTTGATTCTTCCGCTGCTCCTCTCGCTCCTCCCGATTCACTTTCTCGTTTCGCTGCTCCCCTGCTACTCTCGCGACTTCTTTCGCTGCTGCTTCATCCGAAAAGCTACCGTGAGAATGGAGGAAAGAACAAGAGATTTCGCGCAAATGCCGGAACAGCTTGAAGCAGGGAATCAAACGCTGCACTCATGGCAGTCGGGGCAGTCGCAGCCGCTCTCCCGAGCGCGAAACGCGGCAGGGTCGGAGCCATCGTCGCCCCACTCTGCTCCCGCCGCTGCCTTATCCGGCTTGGAGCGCATCGTCACGCGGTTCCCGTCGCTGCCACGAGGCGACACGGCCGCAGCGCCGCCTCCGCCGCCGCCGCCGCCGTCGTATCACGGAGAGTTCCCGGCCTCGGCAATGGACGACGAGTCGCACCGCATGATGGTGCAAACGATGATGGCTTTTGAGACGTCTCAGAGGCAAGTAATGATGACAATGGCAGCATTTGACGACGCCGTGGCAGCGGCTTTCTCAAGATCATCTCTTCAACAAGATTTCTGTGGCGGCGCTTCCGGCGCAGGTGGCGGCGCTTCCGGCGCAGGCGGCGGCTCTTTGCTATTCGAGTCTCGAACTGCTGCGGCGGCAACTGCTGCTGCTCCATGCGCGCCGCCGCTGAACGGCGAAAGAGAAGATCTTGGCGACATTTCGCAGTGGTTACAGGCGGTCATGATGGGAGAGTCGCACGGAGTCGCAGGGGGGTTCGCTCCAGGGGGGTTCACAGCCGGTGCTAGTACAGCTGGTGCAGTAGCCGGTGCTACAGCTGGCGCCACAGCCGAATGTTTCAGAGGCAGTTCTGGCATGGAGAGAATGCAGATGATGGCGTCTTTTATGGCCGCTAACTCGGAGGAGGATGGGGAGGAGGAGGGGGAGGGGGAGGGAGAAGAACGGGCGGGTGAGGATGAGGAAAACCAGGGGAGGGAAGGGGAGGAGGGAACAGACGACGTGATGATGAAGCAGGGAGATGGTGGGGAGGGAAGGGGGGGTGTGAAGGAGGGGAGAGAGAATGGACGAGCGGCGGCATGGATGGCGGTTGATGGTCCCAATGCTGCTGGCCCTCCTGCTGCTGCTGCTTTTGCTGCTGCCGCATCTGCTTCTGTTGATGGCGCTGCAGCTGCTGCTGCTGCTGCTGCTGCTGCTGCTGCTGACACTCCTGCTTTTGTTGCAGGGGGGTTTGTGTTTGGGGAGAGAGGGGGCATGCAAGCAGCCGATGGTGGTGCTGGCAGTGGTGATGCCGACAGTGCTGGTGGTGCTGCTGCTGATGGTGCTGCTGCTGGTGGTGCTGCTCGTGCTGGCAGTGATGGTGGTGGCGGTGGTGGTGGTGGTCTCACTAACAGTGCTGGTGCCGGCAGTGGTGGGCGGCACAGGCAAGGGCAGCAGGCAAACATCAAGCCGAGGTCGGTGCGAGAGCGGCGCAGGAGAGAAAGAATCAGGTAAAAGCCAATAAGCTGCCCCGTTGTAGCTGTGCCAGACTCTGCCTTGGTTGCCCCACGTACAAATGGCATTGGCACATGATGCCTTACCGACCCTTTTTGCATGCTCTCTGCCCGCTAACCCTCCTCTACCTCTCTTTCTGCTGTTTCGGAAGGAAGCAAAGTCGTAAAGTTTCAATGCATTCTGCGCGCACGTGCCTGATAACAATCCTTCTGCCCCCTTTTTCTCTATCCTCTCCGCTTCCTCTTTGCTGCATGTTCCCTTGTTTCAACGTTTCCCGTGGCAGTGAGTCACTGAAGCGGTTGAGAATGACTGTGCCTTTGGACCTGCTGGGTCCACACCAAGACCTGGGATCCATGATAGAAGGAGCCGTCAACTACATTGAAGTCATGCAGGTACACTACTTGTTAGCCGCTAAGCTTCCTTGTCAAAAAGGTATGCTAGCTGTGAAGCTTCTTGCTGGACATGCGGGTCCCTTGGCAGTTGAATGCAAGACCTGGGATAGTAGGAGCCGTCAACTGCATTCAAGTCGTGCAACAGGACAATACTCAGCAGGTAGATTGAGAGTGGTAAATTGGCAGTGGTCGATTGGCATTGGAGCATACGGCAGTCAACGTCTCTGGTGTTTCGTATTCTTGCTCGGGTGTGTGCACACCTGTCTTTGTCCCCGCAGATGAGACTGTCAGAGCTGCAGCAGCGAGTGCTGGAGGGGGAGATCAGAGCACGCCTCAACAGGTAGATTTTGCCAATGGCGGCTCTGGCGCACCATACAGTTGGTCAACGTGTGTGTTCTAGCCTCTCTGGTGTATCTTGGTCCTACTCTGTGTGCACACCTGTCTTTCTCCGTCAACCCAGATGAGACTGTCGGAGCTGCAGCAGCGAGTGCTGGAGGGGGAAATCAGAGCAAGGCTTAACAAGGTAGATGGGCAGTGGCCTGTACGACCGGATAGTATGGCCAGCTTGTGTAATAGTATCAGATTGCTCGTACTGCAACTGTTATATAGTTATATATAGAGGGGCAGAGAGAAAGCTGTACTAGAAGCTTTTCGGTGCTCTTTGTTAGCTACGTGTGGTGTGTTGCAAGAAAGGTCGTTCTGTCGTGAGTCCATGCAAGTGGTACTGTGCAACAGTGCCCTAGATATCAGACTTTGGAGTCTGAATCAGAGTCCGTTCAGACTTTTTTTTTGTACCTAGTCTGAACTCCAAGAATTTATTTATGTACCTTGTCTGATTTTCCAGAGTTTTTTCTTATGAGTTGTCTGAAATTTCAGCCTAATTTTACTAGGGTAGGCTGAGCCTCAGACTTGTATCGGGGATACACTCTGCGCGCTTATCGGAGGAAAGTTTCCTGGAAGTTTCCTTCCGATATGCCCACTTCCGAGATGGCAGTGGAGTGCCAGGACGTGAGCAACGCTCACTTCGACAGCTGGGACATCCAAATACACTCGTTCGTCGAGAATATCTTCCAGTTTCGCTGAGGAAATGGTTGCGTGATTACGAGATTTCTGAAGACAAAATCTCGTCACATGTAAGTTATCGCTAATGTATTGTAAAGAATAGGCGACTTTGATGCTGATTCGCTGTAAAAACATCTGCAGCACGCACTGGTGTGAATTGCGAAGTTCCTGATTCGTACTGAAAGTTTCGTGTGGCACTTGTCTGATCCTCACATGCCACGCCAAGCAACAGTTCTGCCTGCTGCCAGCTCAGCTGCGTGGCACTTGGCCCACCTGATACAGATCGGGTGAACGATCGAATCGCTTGAAAAGCAAATCCAAAACTGACAAAATCGGCACACATGCGAGAAAATGGGTACAGAACGGTAATCACACACACGACAAAACGAAATGAGATCAGCAGAGCAGAAACAACCATGCGCTGCACGTGACAAAAACACTGGAACGCCGCCGACATGAGCAGAGGCGATGCACGAGCACGAGCACGTTGCCTGATGCGTTGGTATGGTAGGCTGTAATCAGCCTCAATGCTATTATAACTGCTTTTACGAAACTGCATGAACATCTTAAAATTTGAAGTAACTCTGACAGTTCAGACAAAAAAAATTGTGCTTGTCTGAATTTTCAGACTAAAATTTTGAGGCACCTCTGACAGACAGAGTTCCAGGAGGGGTGTACTCTGAGGCCTCAGACTACCTCAAAACGAATCTAGGGGCCTGCTGTGCAACAGTAGTACGGTAGCATAAGAAATCACAAGAAGCACTGTCAGGGGGGAATTGGTCATGGAGTCAATGGTGCATGACGCAATCCCCCTTGGGATTGGAGCGAAAACATCACATAACTACTACCGGTAACAGAATTTCTACGTATATGCTGGAGCCATCAGTCTAAGTAGCCATGAGGCATGATGATGTGATGATGATCATTAAAGCATGATCAAGTGATATCGGGCTTACAGGCTTGTACCGTATCCCGCAATGTAGGGTGTAAAGGTGGGAGGGGAGCTGGGGAGCAGCAGCAGCAGCACAGGCATTGAAGCTGGGGTCGGGCACTGGTACTATGCTGACACTGCCCTGAGCTGCATATCACCGCTCCCAACCTTCTCCAATCTAGCTGCAGGCATTGAAGCTAGGTTCCGCATACTGGTACCACACCCCGAGCTTATTATTCGCTACGATCTTCCCCACCCCGCAATCGTCAGGGTCGTGGAACATAATACACTTTCCGCCGCACTCCCCGTTGGCAGCGCTGTTGGCAACGTAGGCCCAGAGGTTGCAGTAGTCTGCCTGCTGGACTTGTGTTGCAAGGCACTGCTGCTGGCACTGCTTGTAGGAGGGCAGCCGCACCATTCCTGTTATGTGCTGCAGGTTGTCTCGTAGACCAGGCACCTGTTTGGGGGGAGGGGGAGAGGAGGAGAGAGAGGACGAGGGTTGTTAAGGCGAGACACTGCTGCTGGCACTGCTTGTAGGAGGGGAGCCGCACCATGCCTGTTATGTGCTGCAGGTTGTCCCGTAGACCAGGCACCTGTTTGGGGGGAGGGGGAGAGGAGGAGAGAGAGGACGAGGGTTGTTAAGGCGAGGCACTGCTGCTGGCCCTGCTTGTAGGAGGGGAGGCGCACCATTCCTGTTATGTGCTGCAGGTTGTCGCGCAGACCAGGCACCTGCGGGGAACACAAGGGAGTGGGATTGGCTAATGAGTGAGTGGCGTGGATTACATTCGCAGGTGCCGGCGTGCAAAGATGAAGAGAAGTTACCCAGCGACATAGCACCAGAGGTAGATGTTACCTTGTCGAGGGCCGCGCACGGAGCACACTGGTTCTTCCTCCCCGTCGCCACGAACCCCGGCGAACACGCCCTGCAGCTGCTCAACCGCGTGTAACCCGTCACGCACGTCGCACACGCCGTTTCGTTGTCCCACCGTCGCACACACTGGCAGCTTGGGGTGAAATCCGCGTTATAAACACAAGTCCCGTGCCCGTTACAGTCGTTAGCGCACCCCGTGCAGCCCTTGCAGTTGGCTCGGATCTTCAGCCCCGGAGCGCGATCCACATTCGCAGGCGCGGACATGCTGCAGAAGCTCACCGAGCCTGTTCCCGAGCCTGCCGCGAGCTGCCGAACCGCAATGTCGCCGGCTTGGGAGCGCATGTTGTTGTGGTTACTAGCAAAGGAGGTGGAGCAGAGGGAGAGTGTGGTATCTCGAGAGGAGACTAGGATGGCCCCTCCCCCGCTGTCGGCGCCGTTGTTTCGGCCTGTGGGCGGCTGAACCGCGACGTTTCTAAAGAAAGTGGATTTGACTATAGTGATGCTCTTGGCCGTCGTTGCTATGGCGCCGCCGCCCACCACTGCATGTGACAGCAGACAAGGTGACAGTAGAGGGGGAAGAAGGATGGATTTGACTATAGTGAGGCTCTTGGCCGTCGTTGCTATGGCGCCGCCGCCCACCACTGATGGCAGGTAAGAAGGGCAAAAGGGGAAAAAAGAGGGAAATGTGGAAAAGGGTACACGGGAGCAAAGGGGAGAGAGAGGGAAAGGGGGGATATAAAGGAAAGAGGAGGAGATTATGGTTAGATGCGGGGTCACAGGACAGGCGGCAGGGCAGGGGGCAAGAAAAGGGCAGGTAAGGAAGCAGGAAAGGCGGCAAGAACTTTGCAAAGATCGCAATATTCCCTTGTCAACTCGTCCCTATCCCTGTTCGCCTGTCTGAACACGAGCCATGTCAACAGCAACACTCACGAGCATAGTTCTTCTCGAATTTGACGGAATTCATGTAGAATACATTATCCTCGCTATAGATCGCCCCGCCCTTGCCCTTCTCCGCGCGGTTCCCGCGGAACGTGCACCCCGCCAGCTGCACGCGCGGGCCGCCCACGGGCTCCTGCCCCACGTTGATCGCGCCGCCGTTGCCGCTCTCCGCGGTGTTGTTGATGAACTCGCAGAAGGTGAAGAGCAGCGCGCCGGACGTGGGGGAGGCGGCGCGGGAACTGCAGAGAGAGGCGGAAGGGCAAGCGCAAACGGGGAAGGGAGAGGTGAGAGAGGGGTAAAAGCTAAGACTTGCTGGGTGCAAAGAGGTTTCTTGCGGCGGCGGTGCTGTTCACGAACTCGCAGAAGATAAAGAGCAGCTCCCAGCCTCCAGCCCCTAGGGCCCACTGCTACTAGTTCCCTTCCCGCCTTCCCGCCACTAGCTGGGTACTCACTTGACCACGGCGCCACCGCCGGTAGTGCGCGCGACGTTGTTGATGAACATGACTCGGCGCGCCGTGACGGCGCACCCTCCGGTGTGCACGCCGTTGACGGCGTTGCGCACGGTGACCTGCTCCAATGAGATGAAGCAGTTGAAGCCGCCGGAAAACACGGCGTACTTGTGCCGCCCGTCGATCACGCACTTGGCGGAACCCGCGCAGCTGCCCTTGACCGCCACTCCCGCGTTGAATCCGAGAGAAGGTAGCGGCCTGCGCGGATGGGGCAAGGGCGAGATGGGGAAAACAATAAGAAACGGCACGGCTAGTCTTGAGCTGGTACCCTGCAGTGCATGGTGATTCGGTGGAATCCAGGCAAGCAGCGGCGTACTTAGTTAGTAAGACGTCGGACGTGAGGTGGACGGTGATGGTCTTGCGCTGCGAGTTTGCCGTCTCAATCGCGTCGCGAAGCATGTCCTCCGCGTTCCGCCCGCTCGCCGCCATCGTCCCCGCCGACAGCTCCTCGAAGCTTCGCAGAAGCTGCCGGTCGCTTTCCTCACGGCGCCTGGACACGTCGCGATGCGGACCGCGGACTAGAGAAGCGACGGGAACTGCGTCAGAATCGGCGGCGGAGATTGCGGGGAAGAGAGCGACGCAAATTACGAGGACGCGCTTCGCCGAAGAGCAGGAGGAGGAGGCAGAGGCGGCGGAGGAGGAGGAAGAGGAGGAGGTAGGGGCCGATTCAGTGTGGTTTTCCCCGCAAGTGAAGGAGTTTGAGGAGGAACTGGAGGTTTGGAAGGCACGTACGCGAGAGAGTGAGGAGATTAAGACATCAACTCTGAGTAGCGATGCCATGGCCTGTATCGACAAGCGCAACGTGCTATAACGGGTGAAGATGATAACGTGGCAGAGCGAATATTGGTGCGGGAATCAGGGAGAGAATGCTCTTTGCGGAAGGTGCGGATACTAGGCCCACTTGGCGTTACTGCAGTGGCGGCTGGCGAGGATAGCAACCTATTGCTCAACGAGTAATGTGCTTTAGATTGGTCTTTACTTGCGAGCTACTCAAGTGAACGGCAGTATCTATAAGAATGTCTTCCTAAAACTCGAGGGGCTGAAGGCCTAGAGACGCCAGGTGGGTGGATGGGGAGTTTGGCGTGCTACACGACGATCCGTCGGTGGTTTGGACGGAGATCTTGAGCAAGAGGAGACTTTAGTCCGCTTTGGATACTTCGACGGCGGTCTGCAGACGATATGGCGAGCAGAACGGTGCGCCGCCAAAGCTAGTGCGGAGAGAGTTCGACGAAACAGCGATCCTATTCGAATAACAACGGATACACAACGGGTGGAGAATAAGGAGAGCCTTGAAACTTCCGTTTAAGGAAAGAAGTGCCCAAGTTGAGTAGACCTGAACCAACCTAGTATGACGAAGCAAAAGCAACAGGCATGAAATTGGGGAAAGAGACAGGAGTTTGCTGTGTGTGCGTCTCCGCATTCCGTTTGAAAAAGGGGCGCAATGTCGGCTTGGTTTTCTGCTCGCGCCTTGGCTGGCGGAATTCGAATTTCCCACAGAAATTTGAGAAATTTGTACAACCTCCGCGTCGCATTTCTGAGATCGTTGGGAAAATGAACGAAGTTGCGCGGTCCGCAGGAGAATTTTTATTGTTGCGGGATGACTGCACCTGTAAGGAAAATTCCTTTTCCTTACTTCGCGTCCCTGCTCAGCGCGTACAACACTGACAGCACCCCACAATATCCCGTTACCACTCGCGACATTCGCCTCGACACCATTCCTGCCACTGTTCACGATGCGACCCAACCACACGGTCCGGTTGGTAACCCGCGCTCCGGACCTCCGCCTCGACAGTTCCCCAAACCTCGGCACCAGGCCCGTCGCGCACCCCATTTCCCACATTACCGTTACCACCATAGTTTCGCTATATATTCTTCGCTCATTCCTTCGCTCATTGTATCCTGTCTCGATAGTGCAATCCTCGCTCGCTCACTCCAATTGCACTCGTAACACCTGGTTATCAGAGCCTACGATCTTCTCTCGGACCGCACCCACACCTTCGCTTCCTCACTATCAATTTTTGGGGGGGGGGGTATACGTCTCTCAGCGATCAAGCACCGCCGCTCGAAGTGCTCTCTCGTAAGCACGCACGGCCATGACAGAGGCTCTCGCTGCGCTTGCTCGACACCTCTGCCATGGCCGAACTCAAAGTCGCGACACTGACACAGGAGCAATTAGATCACCTCATGCGCCAACTCGGAGAATCGGCGCTTGAAATCGCCACACTCACGGCGGAACGCGACTCCGCTCGCCAACAATCGACAGTGAATGCACCACCGCCAACACACACACCTGCACATTCGGAGGAGCCGATTGTCATCTCCTCCGGCACACCGACACAGAATGACAGCGTGGGACAACGCTCAGGCGCAGCCAGTGAAGGCGCCGCTCACTCGATGCCGGGCATGGAGAGGAACAGGACTGCACCAAGCCCACGGGAGCCCCGCGAATCCCGTCGACACGTGGAATTTGCGGCGATAAGTGGCGAATACGCCGTCACGGCACCAATGCCACTCAAGCCGCAACGTCCGCCCTGTTTCGACCCAAGCCAGCGTGGGGGTCCGACGGTTCAGTCGTGGGTCTTCACGATGAACGTCTTCTTCGACGCCAATTACATCGAGTCGGACGCAGCAAAGATTCGCTATGCTGTTTCGCTGCTGAGGGGCCCCGCCATGGACTGGTGGCGAGTCATCGTGACGTCGCCACGCGCCTATGAGCCACCATAGCACGAAGACGGGCCCACGGGCCCAGCCGTCACCTGGAGTTCATTCTGCGAGACAGCCCAGTACAGCACGTGGGATGCGTGGTGCGCAGGGCTTCGGGCGCGTTTCGAGCCGATCGCGGCTTCGATCTCGGCGCGTCAGAAGCTGCGCACTTGGCGGCAGCTCGGGTCGGTTCAAGATTACACTAGCGGCTTTCTCGCACTATGCGAACAAGTCGGCTATATGCACGAGGCGGAGCGGGTGGACCGTTACGTCGGAGGGCTAAAGCCGGACATATCGCACGAAATTATGCTACGCGGGCTCTCGAATTTCAACGAGATCCTCGCGCTCGCCGAGAAAATCGACATCCTACGACGACCGAGGCCGGGGTTCTACTACGGACAACGCCCTCGGGGGCCGACCGAGCACGCCACCGTACACGCCGTTGCGACGAATGCAGCTGCCGCGCCGTTTAAGGGGCGCTGCTTTGCTTGCAATAGGCCGGGCCATCGCAAGAGTGAACGCCCAGAGGAGCTAAGGCGCCGTGGAACAGAGCAGGGGCGAGAGTCTCAGAGGCCGGGAAACGCCAGCAGTCAGTAGAAGTTGGGTCAACTACTGGCGAGACTGCCTGCTCGCCCAACTTCACCGACCCTCACCGAGTCACAGTACCGATTCACGCTATCGATCGGGCTCGGACGAATAAGGAGGGTACAGCGACGGATTGCCCAGTACTGATTCACGGGAAAATACAGGGAGCAGCAGTGAAGATTTTTATAGACGGAGGTGCAAGTCACAGCTTAGTTAATACCGCGACTGCAAGGAAGCTGCAACTGACACTTAGTCGGTGCTTACCGGAGATCGATGCACGCTTAGTTGACGGAACGCCGCTGGCCATACGGGAGAAAGTGGAAAGGGTAAAAGTCCGCTGAGGAGGGAATTTCGGTTTTACACAGGAAATGCTTGCGACGACGTTGGATGGGCACGACATTTTACTGGGATGTGATTGGCTGCGACGATACAACCCGCGAATCGACTGGACGACAGGCAGCTGCACTGTGCGAAACAGCGGTAACTGGGTGGAGCTACCTCGCTGGCAGTCGCCTGAGTCTTCAACGGTCCACGTTAACGCCATCACGATGAAACGGGCTGTCGCTGCTGGAGCTGATGTGTACGCAGTGGATATCGCGATTGTGGAAGAAGCAGACAAACCGAGTGATTTTCAGAAACTACTAGCGGCAGTACCATCGGAACCACAGGAACTGTTAAAATTCCCGGGAATCTTCCCTGACGACTTACCCGAGGGACTGCCACCTCAGCGGGCACACGATCACTGAATAGAATTAGAGCCCGGGGCACAGCCAACCGTACAGCGACAGTTCCGACTGACACAACCCGAGCTCGATGAGCTAAGGAAGCAGTTAGATTACCTATTAGAGAAGCAGTTCATCCGACCGAGCTCATCGCCATTCGCCGCACCGATACTGTTCACACCGAAAAAGGACGGCGGGTTTCGCATGTGTATCGACTACCGAGCACTGAACAGGGTTATAGTTAAATCGCGATACCCCATCCCCCGCGCTGACGAACTGATAGATCAACTGCGCACAGCACGAGTCTTTTCGAAAATTGACTTACGAGGAGGTTACCACCAGATTAGGGTCGAACCGTCGGACTGCGCAAAAACAGCTTTTCGGACTAGGTACGGGTCGTTCGAATACACGGTGATGCCTTTCGGGCTGACCAACGCACCGGCGACTTTCCAGATGACGATTAACGAGGCGTTTAGGCCGCTCTTAGATAAATGCGTAATCATCTACCTCGACGACATCCTAGTCTACAGTCGGGATAAGCAGCAGCACTTAGCTGATTTAGAAGCAGTCTTTACCGTCCTAGACCAACACAGACTACTGACAAAGGGTTCCAAGTGCGAGTTTTTTCAGGACAGACTCGAGTTTTTGGGGCACGTTATTTCGGAGGCTGGAGTTGAAATCGACCCGAAAAAGTTGGACACGGTAAAAGCATGGCACCCCCCGACGAACATCACGAAGCTGCAGAGTTTTTTGGGGTTTGTTAATTATGTGCGCCGGTTCGTCCCCGACATGGCACGCTTAACAGCCCCGCTTACGGATTTGCTGAGGAAGGGGGTCGCTTTTACGTGGGGGGAGAAAGAGCATGCTGCCTTCTCCACCCTAAAAAATGTTATCTGTTCACCGCCGGTACTGCGCATCGCCGAACCACATCGCCCATTCGAAGTGGTCACTGATGCAAGCGATATCGCCATCGGAGCCGTACTGCTCCAGGACTTCGGCAACGGGTTACAGCCCATCGCCTACGAATCACGAAAACTGCATCCGCCCGAGAAGAATTATCCGATACACGATCGCGAAATGCTTGCGATCGTGCATGCGTTCAAAGTGTGGCGCTGTTACTTGACCGGCGCCGACGTGACAGTACGGACAGATCACAAGTCACTACAGTACCTCTGCGCACAACCCCATCTCAACCCACGACAAATCCGCTGGCTCGACTACCTCGAGTCGAATTTCTACTACACGGTTACCTACAAAAAAGGGGCTTCGAACATCGCCGATGCATTAACCCGACCCACAGCCCAAGTTCACGCCATACTACTCGCTCAGACCAGCCCACTGTTAACAGGCCTATTTACCCACGGTTACCAAACTGATCCATTTTTTACAGGCGGAAACTCGCAGCAGTTTGCAGCAGCA